AAATGACCTTGGACACTATTTCAAACCGCTCATAGTAAAGGTGGGTAGCTGTTAGGAGACAAACATTATAACCAGCTCTATATGAGCTTAAATTCCGAAGATTGTTTGATTCAAAGAAAATAATTGGAAGCACCAACATGTGAGTCTGAATTTTTTGATTTATTTAGTTTAACTTATCATAAATGACAATCGGCAAAATGACACTTGACAATAATGATGCTGAGGACAAAACCCAACATCAGAATGACACAATCGAATTGAGTAAATGAGTATGTTCATTGAAGCAGCTGCGGTAAGAGTTTTCGACAGCTTCATTGATTTACAAGGTTTCGAGGAGGTAATTTTTTTTTTCCTTTGTCACAGACACGTAAAATTTCAATGTTGAAATTGATATCGAAAGAGTGGTCGTCATTGATAATATGGCAAAAACATTATTGGACTGTGAAAAATCTTTTTCAAAATCATTTTCTATGATACGATTGTGTTCTGATACTTTGGTTCCGTACTTGCGCCCTGTTTGACCGATGTAGTAAACTTTACAATCATCATTTCTGCAATTCAATTTATAAACACCAGATTCTTCTAGAATAGGAATCTCATCTTTTGTGTTGACTATGGCACTCCCTGAAGTGTTGGTGGTTTTGAAAGAGAAAATAGAATTACTCATATATTTGATAATCATTTTTTTCTTCAGAATCTTGCTGAGTTCAAGGAAAACAGAGCCAAAGGAAGGGAGAGAGAGCTATTTGGATGTTGAAACAGGCGTCGTTGAAAAGTCATTTGAAAATTTATTGGCATATTTTGAGTGAAATCGATCAATTAACTGAATAGAAAAATTGTCATAACTGCGATTGGTCCAATGATATTCAATTCAGCTCTTCATTTGTCATTGTACAAGGGTATTGTAAAGAGTCTATGAGAAAGTCTATGGAAAGCTGAAAATTTCTGGCTGTAAAGGTGGAACGAATTGAAAGGTATAATATTATCAGTACTTGTTGGTTTTCTATAAATTGAGAAGTTGATTTTGTATAGCAGAATATCAAGGAAAGGTAACTGATAATTGGATTCAATTTTCATCGTGAATTTTCTTCTAGGATTTATAGAATTCAATTATAAAAGAGAATCATTGAGTTCAAGTAGGGTACCTTCAAAGAGAGCAAGAATTTCATGAACATATCGGTGTTGGGTGCTGAGAAATGGATGATTCGATTCATGTAATACGTAATTTGAAAGCTCAACAATCTTCTTCACACAGTTTCCCCCATATAACGTCTCACAGATATTCAGATTTTAATTTTCATGAAAGAACACCTATTCTTCCTTATATTTATTTCGACAAATATGAAGAACACCTACTTCTACACGGTTTGAGATTCAACATTCCTACCGAACTTCACCCTCCACATTCAGAAATACTTGCAATCGAATCTGAATGGGTCATCGAGTCATTTGATCCAAGTATTACAGATGCGCTGCGTGCTGAGGTTGCAGTCTGTTTGAACTCCCATTTTCATTCTTCCAACCACTCCTCAGATAACTCTATTACAAAAAATTATGGAACTATCAAAAGTTGACAAAGGGAATTGTTCAATCATCATGAATCGAACTGATAAAATTATTTGAAAGTTCAACTTTTTCTTTCCAATGATGATTTTTCTAGAACAAGATTCAATCATACTGTTGAATCTTGAGCTACTTGTAGGGAAACTCCTAATGATCTAAACGACACCATCACTTTTTTGAAATCGAATGAATTTTACCTTTCGACTATGAACCTTGCAACTCCTAGATCGTACGGCTTTCTAAAGTTCACACAAACAGAACATCCCCATCAAACCCGTAGTCTCTTATATGAATTCTCCTGCCTCTAAATAAGCTGGCTGGCGAAGCTCAATTCTCTCTGACCTCATGAGATTCCTCAACTTCTTCTGTTGAAAATTCACTGGATTGACAAAGGAAATCTTGATGTTTCAAATTAATTTCATAGCATTCAACCTGATGATTGTTTACTTCCTGTCCGACAATTACTTTCAAATAATTCTGACCTTCCCACCCATCATAATAATATATTTAATATCTGCTCCTCAGTTGATCGTCAGAAATCAGGCTCATCCATGGGCTCAAACCTATCTCCTTGTTCACGTCTAATTTCGAATTGACCATTTCTCAGCACCTTAACTTAAGCAAAATTATTTCTCGACTCCGATATGTTGATGATATTCTCGCTCTCTCTCAGCTCAATGTTTTTTTTTTAATTCTGTCAACCCCAGAATGGAATTCCCAATGGAAATTGAATCTGATAATCAGTCACCTCCTCTTGATATTTCGATACACAAAACACATTCTTTCGACTTTTAAATATATAAAAAACCAACAAGTGCTGATAAAATTATACCTTTCAATTCGTTTCGCCCTCACAGTAAGAAATTTTCAGCTTTTCATGCACTTTTCCATACACTTTTCACAATACCCTCAAACAATGACAACTTTGGAGCTGCAATGAATATCATCAAACAAATCGCAGTTGATTACAATTTTTCGATTCATTTAATTGATCGACTTTATTATTTCTTTGGGTATTGAATACATAGCAAGAACTGTTGACCTTCCTGCTTTGAATCTATGCTGATTCTGGCAAAGGATTTTTGAGTTTTGTATGAATTTATTAAGACGTTTGTACATAACTTTTGCTAGACTCGGACTCACATCTCCACCTAATCCCCGTCCTGTTTCATGAATCGATTCTGAATTTGGATACACATGTCAATTCATCAGACAATACCATCCCAAGAGCCAATCACAATAGTGCCCTCGACAAAATTCAATACTGGCCAAGCACCACCCCACCTCATCTCTATGACTCTTTATCCTGCTACACTCAATATCATATCTCTACCTCATTCTTTCGTTATCTCATCAATAGCTCATGAATATACATATCCAATTCAATCCATCAGACGATATCATTCCAAGAGTTGATGACAATAATGCCTCCGCCAACATGAAATCTAGTCCAAGCACCGCTTTATCTCTCCTTCATAACTTCGCCTCCTGCTAGTGTCAAACTAACATCCCCACCTGATCTTCGCCTTATATCATCAAACGCTCCTGAATATACATACCCTTGTCAATTCATCTGAAAATATGATTCCAAAACCAATGACAATAATGCTCATGCCTACATCCAGTTCAGTCCAATGAACACATCGTTCCTCCTTTTGCTAGGATCAACATCACATCCCAACTCAATCTCCATCTTATATCATCAATCGCTTCCAAGTTAACATATTCAAGTCAATTCATCAAACAATATCATCCCAAGAGCCAATGACAATAATGCCCCCGCATACGTCCAATCCAGTTCAAGCACAAACTCATCACCTCCACTATGGTCCCGCCTCCTTCAGCAGGCTGAACCCATCATCATCATTTATAAAATCAATCGCTTCTGAATATGAATACCCAAATCAATTCATCAGTCAATATCATCCCAAGATTCGATGACAACAATGCTTTCACCTCGGTCCAATTCAGTTCAAGCATCGCTTCACCACCCCCTGTATGACTATGCCTCCTGCGAGGCTTATCCCCATATAAGCTCCCAAACCCAACCTCAATATACGTTCCTTATCGGTCTAAACTATCTCTTCACCTACTAATGTAGGACAGAGGGAATTCGAGTGCTGAAGTAGCCTCAGCTGGCCAGATTGATTCTGAATTTGCTGATAAGATCCAAGATCCGAGAATATACTATAATCTCTGGTAGAAGTAAGTCCATGTTTGCTCAAAGTGGAGTGAAATATTCCAAAAGGAAGAAGTAAAGCTCAAAGTCATCTCCACATCTTCAATAATGATCTAGTCAATCAAACGAACATGTTTCGGACCTATAAAAGTCCATCTTCAGCTGTATTCTAGAAGTTGGTGGAGGTGAACATTATATGTTTGAAATAAAAAAAAACGCCGATGTCTGTCATCATAATATCGTGATTATTGTTAATAATGAATGTTGTTGAAGAATAAACGGATTTTCATTGAAAATGGAGAGCCTTGTGCGCATAGAACGCGCAGGTGCAGAGCTTTTGGCCCCATCAATTATGAATTGACTTTTGAATTTTAGTGCGCTCTCTCAAGGGTACGGGACCTTTTAGTTTTTTCCTGTCTTACAACTTAAAATGGTTTTCACGAGCACCTTGAGTGCTCGTCAAGTTTCCCTTCCGGGACTTGACTTTTGATTTTCATAAGTGCGCGTTCTTAGGGCACGGGGCCCTTCAATTTTGATGAAAATCCGTTCATTATCAAGCAATATCTATCAACATTAATCACAATATTATGATGAGAGATATTGGAATCCTTTTTTTAAAAACATATAATGTTCACCTCCATTAACTCCGAAAACACGGCTGAAGATGGATTTTCATGAATCCGAAACACGTCCTTTTGATTGACTACATCATCATTAGAGTTATGGAGATAACTTTCAGGTTTTCTTCTTTCTTTTGATATTCTATAATATTTCATAATGTTCGAAAAATTTGAAGAATCTACAAGATCTTCCAGAAACTTGAAGACTGTTTCAGAAGAATGTTTTAGAAATATTGGAAATACTCGAGAATGATATAAAATGTTTTAGAGCATCCCGGAAGAACCATCATGTCGACTCTCAATTCCAGAGTGTTCGAGAAAATTGAGAATACGATCATTTACATCACCCTAATGGTTCTCGTATTTCACGGTTGATTTATTTTTGTTCACATTCGATAGGAGCAAACTATCTCGTTTGAGCGAACGAATGATAACTCTGGTTAATGAGAGTTAGGCATAAGGGATCATAAACGAATGGCACCGATGATCTTTTTCCAGCTTCTGGAATGGTATCTGAGAAGATCGTAAAAAACTATCATTTGGCGATGAATACGCTTAATTCGTACTGATAACATTTTGTCTGATAAAATTTCGTCATCGAGTTTATTCAGCGTGTATCAGAGACATAGTGAAAAACAGAGTTTCTAAACCCACTGGCCAAGTTACGAGTAGTTCCATTTCTCTGAACGTTTCAGATATTTGATAATATACTAATGATGGGTTGTTTGAGCGGTATAGCAAGATATATTCTCTTTTTATTCAACTTTCTCATCCTGGTGAGTAGTATGAGGATCCTGGACCTCCAGATTGTGTTTTGAATTTAGTTCAATTTTCAAAATGTATGATAAAATTCAATTTGATGCGATTTGAATTGCTCAATGAATGCTTTCTTCAATTAGTGAACTATTACTGGCTTAATCAGCTTGTTCTCAGGAAATTGATCATCAATAAATCATTATTACTCACGGTAAGTACGAAAACTACCATCTACTAGAAAATTCTATGAATCGTTCATGCCATACTGAAAATGACTAATATGATCAATTTCCTGAGGAATATGAGTTACAACCTGCATCCACCAATCGAAAACGACATGTAGTTAAGAAAAGGATTTTCTGCGTTTTTATTATCAACAGTACTCGAAATATTGACCGGCCTGTGTGTTGACCGACATATTTCAGAATTTGGTTGAAACACTTCGAATATCAAAGCCCTATATCCCACTAGCGAACCGTTTCAGAAGATACTATTGAGCAAACTGATGCCTGAGTATCATTCTAGAGTTGATACGTTAAAATAATGAATGAATATGTTTTTCGACTGGGTAACACATGATGTGTTTATACATTCACCATCATTTACTTTGGATACAATCACTTCATGAAAACCCTTCGATATTGCAGTATCTTGATGTGTGATTGATCCTCCATATTATGATGGAAGTTCATATGGATTTTATCTTCAATAGAACGAGTCTTGATAGGAAACTGGCTCTATATTACTTACCTAATGGATTTGTGGCGATTCTAAACTTGTTATTACTTATATATGTATGAAATCCCGTATACAATGTCAATCAATCCCAAACATGTTCTCCACGTAACCCGTTCGTCAGCTCTCCACTGCATTGAATTGAAGGTTGTCATAAATAATTTTTTCCACAATCATGATATACAAATTATGATCCTTTGTGATGAAATTACAGTCAACATATCTATATAATAAAAATTAGTAGGAAATTGGGGACCATAAAGATATGGAAAGGTGAATTAGAGTGACGATAAAATGATAATCCAATAACATCTGTTATCAGTTCAAAAATAGCGCCAACGTTCAATTCAGGATTCGGAATACAAACAATATACCAGTAGATGTGTAGGGGAAAAATTCAGATGATAATTCATTTCCTCAAACAGAAATGTGCATTCGGAAAAGGATTTTGACTATTTCATCGTTTATGTAGCTGGATCACTGTGGAGTAGTATCGTTTTGTGGTGACGACCGATTCATGGTTGTTATCGATATTCTGTCATTATTGTTTGATGCAGGTCTTTCAAACCAGATTTTACTCTGGACTCCAAGAACTTGAACCGGGTATATGATATTTGGGCAGTACTACTGTGGATAACTGCCCAGGTAGCACAATGTCATTCATAGAACGTCCGTAGGATATCCTCAGAAAATATTTGAATAATCTCAGAATATTCTCACAATCACAATGTGATACAGAAATTCTGGGAAATTTCTATGAACATTCGGAATTTACTGTACTGGATATTCTGAAAATATTCCTAGTATATTGAACGAGTAGAATATTGAAGAAAAGCTTACTCCGGTGGAGGTGCGAATCTAAAATATTGTGATTGAATTTTTACAAACCTAAAACCTTACCACCTCGCCACGAACCTAATAGATGAATGAAATGAATAGCAAGATGACAACATTGTTATTAGTGGGATAATCAGCATTGATGAAGCTACACAAAAATAGGTTGTGTCAGGGAAAATATTATGGATATTATTCTCTGATGAAAGTCCATGTTTGCTCAAAGTGGAGTGGAATTTTTCGAAAGGAAGAAGGAAAGCTCAAAGTCATCTCCACAACTTTAATAATGATCAATCAAAGGGACATGTTTCGGACTTTTATTTCGGTATTTCAGAAGTTACTACAAGCAAAGGCATGTGAAAATATACATATTGTTATAAAAGCCAAAAATTGACTCACATGAAGGTGAACATTATATTTTACTGAATGGATGCCGATGTCCTAAGAACGCGCACTGATGGAAATCAAAAGTCAAGTCCCAGAAGGGAAACTTGACGAGCACTCAAGGTGCTCCACGTGAGTACTACCATGTTTCACCATTGATACCTTGTTTGTTCTTTGTAGTATAATTTTCTCAATCGGTTGATGATGGATACCCTATAGATCCGAAACATGTCTCCTTCCTATTTATGATTTGATGATTGATGATATTAAACGTTCTGGAGACGACTTGGAGTATTATTATATATTAACTTCTTCACTCCAATTAGAGACAACATGGACTTCTACAGTAGGTTGAAAATAATTATATATACCAGGTGTAACAGGATCATGGTATACCTCCTTTTTTCCCTTTAGTTCCAGTGATAATCGATTGAAATTTGGAATTGCTCATCCATTTGATAAACGTCACGTCTTGACATGAATGCGTTTCATTTTCCACTTCCGGTTTCCTCGGAAATGGTGATAATTTTCGATTTTCAAACGGGACAACCTCTATATCTTTGCATTTTCGAATTCTGCATCATTTTCCCAATCCAATGATACCACATAAGTGGCATTCGAAACTTCGATATTGATTTCAATTCCATTTTTGACTTTTCATCTGAGTGTGCCATGACAATTCTGATCGAGTCTGATGCACTCATATCAACAGGTGTGATGCTTAAAAAAGTTGAATCCTGTCTCGAATGTGAAATTTCTTTATTCATCAATAATTTAAGTTGATCAAAATGGTTTGGTGTACCATGATCCTGTTACACCCGGTATACCTCGGATGAGAATGCTATTATATAGCTTGTATTTTATCCTTTGGCGCTTCGCGCCTCTGGATATAAAAGTGCTTCCTATATAAACAAACAAAATCTTAGTAACATCTGAGCCCAGTTATGTAAGAAAACAACTTAGTTATAGACGAAACCTTCATAACATCAGCATTCGTTCTCGTCATACTTTAGACATTCCTAAACATCGTTCTACAGTCTTTCAAAAAAGTTTCAGCTACCGTGCACCGAAACAATACAATGAACTCCCGGATCATCTGAAAATATTGAATATAAATCAATTCAAGCATAAAGTTAAAAAATATTTATTGAATATGCAGAATCATACAAATTGATTGAGTGTCGAGTTTCATCATGCTGGTTGGAAAATCTGATTGATAAATGTATTAGTTAGGCATCGATGAAGCATTAGAAAATCTGAACTTTGTTTTGTAGATATATAGCAAAATTATTGCATATTATACTATATCCTAATAATGGAAAATTGTAATTTTTAGTGTCTTAGTATTTAGTTTATTTTTGTTTGAGGTAAAGTGGTAGAATAGCTTTAGCTAAACTTCACCTCATTTGTTCACTGATTGGCATATACTTATATCCACATATTTATATACTACATATGTTTAAGTTAATTCTTGGTGAACAAATAAAGACGATTATTATATTATTATAATAGCTCACTACTCACCTTCGTGCATGATATACTATTTCTACATTTCTTCTCGTCAAAACTGGAAAGTTCAAGATGGCGGATTCAATATAGCGGAAGAGAGATTATGATTCTTCTTTCCAAATAGTAGAAGTGGAGAAATTCAAGATCGAGGATCCAGTATGGCGGACGAGTTGTGATATTATGATCCGAGTCTATTTAAAATTTGTATCTATGTGTTTAAGGGGTCGGAGATCATAATTCTTCCGTGAAAATTGACAGATCCAAGATGGCGGATCCATTATGGCAGACGAGATCCGTAATGATGTTTCAATTCTATTCAAAATTGGTATCTGCGTGTTCTTGGGGTCGGAGATCATAATTATTTTCTCAAACTCTCGAAATTCGAGATGATGAATTCAATATGGCAAACAGCTTTCCTAATTATAATATGATTCGGGTTAGAAAATTATGATTTCACCGTTACATTTTGGAAATTTAGTATGGAACATCCGAATTGGCGAAAGAGCTTGATAATCTAAGTACAATTTCATTTGAAATTGTTATGTAAGGGTTTTCGGGATCGGAGATTATGATTTATCCTACAAAATTATCGAATTCAAGATAGCGTATCCAATATGGCTGACGTGCCTGTAGGGTGCTCACTATATCAAGTTTTGGTAGTTGTCAAAGAGACAGCAAAAAATGATAGTTTGTCAGTTGTAAGAGCATGGCACAATGAAGGCCGTTACGTATGTATGTTACGACTGTGTTTGAATACGAAGTTGAATCTGAAGACTAAACTCGAGATACTCCAATTGGCGAGGAGGATTTTCCTAACCACGTAGGAGAATCAAATCACGTTTCAATAAGATTCCGCTACAGAAATGACCTCAAGAGATACTCATCCCTTCGATGTACAAGCAGATTCATCTACAATAGGTCTCAGATAGAGAGTATGGGTACGAAATTTTCAATATTATGTTGAAGGACAGTCAGGTCTGACTTCCCACCAAAAGTTGTCAAGATTATTGCATCACGCAGAACCAGAGGTACAAGAGATATTTGATACACTTGACCCCACAGAAGTGGACGAGGGAGAGAACATAGACCCATATGAGGATGCTATCAAACGCTTGAATATTCACTTTGTGTCTCAGGTAAATGTAGCTGATGATGGGCAAATGTTTAGAAATATATGCATTTCCACGGGACGAACTGTAGACCAGTTCTTTGTTAGATTGAATAAACAAGCACAGTACTGTAACTTTGGGTCTTTCCATGATGAACAGATAAGAGATCATGTAATCGAGAAATGTGATTACCCTGAACTTAAGAAGAAATTACTGAAAGAAGGAGGTACTTTCACTTTATAAGAAACTCTAGTAGAAGCGAGGATATGGGAGTTGGAGAAGAGAAATTATGATTGCAGTTCGAGTGAGGTCCTTACGCAGGAAGTCAATCGAATTAAGTTGAGAGAAACCAGGAATTCAAATTTTCCAGATGTTATAGATGTGGCTGTCGAGGTCACATTGCGAAGAGTAAAAGTTGTCCGGCAAGGAATAAATTTTGTGAAGATTGT